TTTATTACATTTTTAATAAAATTATTTTTAAGAAGTTTTGGACAACAGAAAATTAATCAAGTCACGTCTAGGATTATACTAATTCTAAATTAAATGAATATAACATGAACATCCAAATGATTCAACAGAAATGAGCATAAACACAAGCCTGGGATGTATCACAAATGTATAATACATTTTTAGTAAAATTATTTTCAAAGAGAAATAGTAGCAGTTTCTCCTAATTTTTACTTGAAATTTTCGTTTTAATTTTGTTAATATTTCATTTGGAAAAATGAAAAAAATTGAGAAAATAAAATATGCGTTATCAACAAAGCAAATGAAAGGATGACCCCTTTGGTAGTATCGAAAACAATATAGTAGAAAAATTATTTGTACAATTCCAAAATATATTAAATAATATATTAAATATATATAATATTATGTTTATATTAAATTTTATATAGATAAAAGTGCAAACTTATACATGAATTTTTAATCACTTTCAAATTTTCTCTCCTTAGAGAACAATATATCATGTGTGAAGTAGAACTAAAAGCCCGCAAAATTTAAAATAAAATCAAACATAGTTTCTAACAGAGTACTATTTTGCTACAGTATATATTTATCGATTTAATATAGTAATAATTATTTAATTCAGCACTTTCATTACGTTAGTAAGTAATCAATAAAATAATCCAGAAAAATATGCTCTTGCAAAAAATATCAAACAAGAAAAAGTTAAGCCAATGAACAAAACACTTGGGAAAAAATGTTTCTATTTATATGAGAATAATATTCCCATAATAAATTTTTACAAAAAATTTATTTTATTTTATTTTATTTATCAAAAATTATCTATCACGTGTTTATTAAAAGATTTTCTACATAATGTAATATAGTAGGTGGCTAAATGCTCAAGTTAGCAAGGCCATTAATTAAAAAAAAAAAAGATTTTCTTTTAGATTGTCAAAAACAAATTATATGCTAGAGTATTGCCAAAATGAAAATATTCGATTATAACAAATAAAATCGTTTTACTTTTTATGTTAAAAAATTATTTTAAAATATTCCAGACATATTCCTAGAAAGCTTAAAATCGAATTAACTATACAATGAGAAAAATCGCATTCATTCGAAAAATGAGGATAATGCATCAATTAGTTTTAGTTTTCTTCATTTATTTATTTTATGAATACAGATGAGTAAATTAAAAATTCAATTTAAATCAAACTAGCAAGTTATTTAAAATTTTTATATATCACAAATATTATAATTTTAGTATAAAAAATATTAAGAATAAAAAAGAACAAAAACAGTATAGTATATTTTATATAAATCTGAAACATATAACTGTATAATGTTGGAAATACCAATACAGATTGTTTAATGTTAATACATACATATTGATATAGTATGATTTTCGAATAAAATTTGCATATATGTTACAAATATATCTGTATTTGCTTTTAAAATAGGCTGGATTTTAAATGTCAATAATATATTTATGAATTCAATACTACTCAAATCGTGGCATTATAGTCAAATAAAATTTGTCATCACAATAAACAGAAATCAAATTCATTTATACTTATATAAATTATAGATATATTTTATTATAATTTTGTATGAAATATAAAATTATTATATAAATAGATATGTGAAAAAATTGTTTTGTAAATAATTTTTCGCACTTTTTCAAATAAATAGTTTGCAAATAAATTAAATGAAAAAAAGTTTTTTTACAAAAAAATTTGTTTTGAGTCGAAACTATTTTTTATTAAGTTAAATCACGTTTTTATTATTAATTCAGTCAACCTATCCAAAAGAGCATCAAAATTAATTGGTAGTTATTAATTAACAAGCATCAAAATTTTATTATTTTTCGCCTAATATGCGGTAATAATGCCGAATTGAACAAATCATCTCCTTCCTGGTTTTATAATGTTCAGTAAAATTCCATTTGGTGTATAGGTGTATGTTCTTATTTTATTAAAAATGTTACATGATTAAAAAATTTGTCTTTTGAGAATAAACGACCGACAATTACGAATGTATTATCTACCTTCACAACTGTATTATAGAAAAAATTACTGAACAAAAGGATAATGAAACAAATATTAAAAAAAGATTTTAATACGAAAAATTAACTCCGCTCATTAAACGAGGAAAATGTAATAATCTAATTCTGGTTTTCATATCTAATTTAATTTTTAGTCATACTTAATTTTTTTATCAACAAAAAAGTATATAAAATATATGTTAAAATTAAATTAATTAATGTAATAATAAACTGATTAAATTTAAAAATCCAAACGGAGAATAATGACATATTTCAATATAAACCTATTAAAAATTTTTCACAGAAAATGTGATCTGGGTGGGTCTAATTCTGAAAAAAAATCATATCTAATCAACTTTTATCGAGAATTAATAGTATATAAAATGTACGTTAAATCAAATCTAATTAACGTAATAATAAACTGATGAAATTCAAAGAACCTGCAACAAACGAATAAGGGCATATTTCAATATAAACTAATTAAAAAAAAGGTTAAAACTGCAACACAAAAAATGTGAGAGTCTAATTTTAAAAAAAAATTTCTTTATTTAATCTAATTTTGAAATATATCTAATCTTGTTATCGACAATTAAAACTATATAAAATGTAAGTTAAAGTAAATCTTATTAACGTAATAATAAACTGATGAAATTCAAAAAACTTTCAAAAGAATAATGGTATATTTCAATAGAAACCAATTAAAAAGATTAAAACTGCAACACAGAAAATGTGATACTCTAATTCTAAAAACAATTTTTCATATCTAATCTATTTTTTAAATTAACCTAATCTTGTTATCTACAATTAAAAGTATATAAAATGTACGTTAAAGTTAATCCTATTAACGTAATAATAAACTGATGAAATACAAAAAACCTTCAAGTGATTAATGGCATATTTCAATATAAATTATTAAAAAAGGTAAAAACTGCAACACAGAAAATTTGATAATCTAATTTTAAAAAAATATATCCATATCTAATCTAATTTTTAAATATAGCTAATATTGGTATCTATAATTAAAAGTATATAAATAAAATGTACGTTGAAATAAATCTAATTAACATAATAATAAACTGATGAAATTCGAAAAACTTTCAAAAGAATGGCATATTTCAATAGAAACCAATTAAAAAGATTAAAACTGCAACACAGAAAATTTGATTATCTAATTCTAAAACAAAAATTCCTTATCTAATCTAATTTTTAAATATATCTAATCTTGTTATCAACAATTAAAAGTATATAAAATCTACATTAAAGTAAATCTTATTAACGCAATAATAATCTGATTAAATTGAATCACAAACAGAGGAATGAATAATGGCATATTTTAATCTAAACCAAAATCTAATTTCTTTGTCGACAAATAAAAGTACATAAATGGTACGGTAAAGTAAATCTAATGAAGGTAATAATAAAATCTAAATAAAATAAAAAAGGTATAAATCTAGTTAAATTTAAAAAAAAACTACCATTAAAAAGGTTAAAATTGCACGGTAAGCGCAGAAAATATAATAATGTAATTCAAGTTTTCATTCCTAACTTAATTTCCAGATGAATCTATCTAATCTTCTTGCCGACAAACAAATAAATGTATATAATGTATACGTTAAAATGAAATGTAATTAACGTAATAATAAAATTATTATATTTCAAAAACCGAACAAAGAATAATTAACTAACATTGAAAATAATCTGATGCCCAAATAATGTATATAAAATAAAATATATACAATGATATATAAAAAATTAATGAAAATATGAACAATTATATATGAATATTATTTGCGGATTTCACAAGTTTTTAAATCCATAAGATATAAAATAAAATAAAATCCAAGGGATGAACATGTTAAAATTGAAGGGAGATGTGAAAGCCATTAAGTACTTGATATGTTTTAATTACACATAATTTATTTAAAAGGGTTAACTCAGTGGTAGTTTTTTTGTTTTGGATATATGCGATTATTATTAGTGAAAAAATATTATTATATTAATATTAAAAAATATTTTTATTATATTAGATTCTATAAATAAATATTTCGAAGATTTTCAAAGAAAAAAACTGTAACGTTCTACATGTAATATATGTTTAAAAATCTCAATTATGGATATTATGTCCAGGGTTGGCGATATATTTAATATGCATAAATTAATAAAATTATATTTATATAGCAATGTCAATTTTAATTTAAAAATATTAAATATAATATAATATTGTATGTGCTCTTGTTTGGAGATGTGAAAGCCATTAAGTACTTGATGTTTTAATTACACATAATTTATTTAAAAGGGTTAAATCAGGGTTTTTTATTTCGAATATATGCGATTATTATTTGTAAAAATATATTACTATATTAGATTTTAATATTAACTATAAATATTTACGACATGTAACATATGTTTAAAAATCTCAATTATGGATATTAAACTATGTCCAGGATTGGCAATATATATAATATGCATAAATAAATAAAATTTATATAGCGATGTCAATTTTAATTTGAAAATATTAAATATAATATAATATTATATGTGCTTGTTTGGAGATGTGAAAGCCATTAAGCACTTGATATGTTTTTTAATTACACATAATTTATTTAAAAGGGTTAACTCAGTGGTAGTGTTTTTTTATTTTGAATATATGCGAAATTTGTGTAATTAAAATCTAATATTATTATTAATGTATCAATTGAGATAATTGTTTGAAGCTGATTGTGCTTTAAAATAGGATTGAATTCTTATATTTTAAGTATTCAATTTAAAATATTTTTAAATATATATTAACTTTTATAAAAAAATTTGAAATTATGATTGTGAAACGGATTCATATTTTAATCGAGTGGAGTAAAAAAAGCCGTAGCAACGCGTGGCAGGATGTGCTAGTATATATATATATATATATATATATATATATATATATATAAATAGTTAAAAATATTAATTTTATTTTCAGATTATATTAAGCCAGTATGTCTTCCGGATGCAACTGAGCAAACAAAGTCATTTGTTGGAAAAAGCTTGTATGTTGCTGGATGGGGAAAAACAGAATCAAGTATGTATCATAATTTTTTATTAAATTTTTATTAAATTTTTATTTAGAATCATTGTTTTCCAGTACGCAACTGCTTTCAACTATACAATATACTGTATAAACTTTAACTTTACAAATCTCAAATTTTTTATTTGTGTGTTTACATATTTTGGTGATGATATAAGAAGTGATCGACTAAGCAAATATTAGGTGTTGAGTTTCTGCATCCTCCAAACTTATTATTTTCGTTGTCTATTACTTTTAACAAAGAGTTTTTTATTAATTTTTTATTAAACTGAAGCAACTTGCTTTTTTATATCAATTAAAATATTAATAATTTTGTTTATTATACACAATAAACATATGCACTAATTAAAAGTAATAAAAGTTCTAAATATTAATTTTAATATATAAAATTATAATATTCTAGATACATTTCTAAACTAAATTGAATAAAGAAACCACGAAAGAGTATATTTATTTCCACAAATGATTAATAACGCAATCAAAACATATTGAATATTCGACTATATTTAATTGAATTGAGAAAAGTTTAAAAAAGTTTAAAAATTAATGGAGAACCGAGGTATTAATTCTGCTTCGTGATAATTAAATTCAAATAAATGTATAATTCAAAATCTAATTACAATTGTGAAAATAAATATTGATATTGAGACCAGTTTTTAATAGTAACTTAAAATAATAAATAAGAAAAATTAATATTATGAAACAAAGAATATCGAAGATTAATCCATTAATGAATTAATTAATAATTCTGCTTTTTTGTATTTATATTCAAACTAATTACAATTGAGAAAATGTATATTGGTATTACGAAAATTTAAGTAGCATTAAAAATAATAAATATTAATATTATTTAATTAATAAAAATAAATATGAAACATAGGGTTATTGAATTGAGCTAAAAGTTTTTTGTCGCATATCAATATATATATATATATATATATATATATATATATATATATATATATATATATATAAATATATATACTTTCTTATTTATGAAGCCAATAAAATTGGTAGTAAAGCGCGATTAAGCAAAGCAATCATATTTGTCGAATACACTTATATAATTTGTGGATTACAAAATTAATTCAAAATTTAAAAAAAATTCAATTAAAATCGGAGTCAATAATTCAACATTTTCGAGCAAAATTCGAACGTTTCAAGCTATGGGTGTCTTCAAATGAATTCTCCGCAACAGAAAAAAAAGTTCTCATATAGAAAGCTCAGTTTTTTATTAAAGCAAGAAAAACCAAAGACAAGACTTCAATCACAGAATTATATAGCAGATCAATAATAATAACCAACAATAAAAAGCTAACTGATAGTTTATCGAATCGAAGATCTTGGAAGTCTAAAATGCGAGTATGTTTCTACCTCGAAAAAAAAATATAGAGCAACTGAGTGTATAAACCAGGTTTTTTAAATACTGAAAACTAATTTAACCATAAATGGTTAGAGCTATGCATGAAAACAAAATACAGTTTGAAATTCTAATTATTTTTTTGTTATAATAATTATTAAATTATTATTAATAAAATGTATACGTTAAAATATTGAATGAATAACTGACGAAGTTTCGAGTGTCAACAAAATCTGCCTTCTGCACCATTATATTCAGATTATAATAGAAAAACTTGAAAAATAAACCTCTTAGTATATATTTTCAAAATTTCACGTGCACGAATATGGAATATCTTACATCTTTATCCAAATGATTTCGTAATTAATAGCAGGATTTGATAATACTACATTTCAAATACAGACAGTATCTGAAATGACGTTTAGTAATTTAACCTCTGTAAATGCTGTTGCCGAAAAATATTGACTATGTGAAAATAGTAAAAGTAAGTTTAACTGTGTCAATTATGGACATTAATCGATAGAGTATACGTAATATAAGTCCAAAAAGTATAGTTGAACATTGGATTCAGAAAAAAACTTGTAAATTTGTATAAATATAACCATTATTTTCACTATATATTTGTATGTAAAAGTACGACAGGATTATGTGATTCAGGTGATAAGAAATCCTGTTTTCTTATAAACCCTTAAAATATGCACGTATCTTGTCGATTAAAAAAACAATCTGCAGAATTAAAATAGGCTGAGGAAATAATATTGAATCTTAAATATATCTGTTCTTGTCTGAATAAATGAAATGTTTTGTAGCAATAAAAAGTGGCAATAAGACATCTTACATGCATACACTCCAAGATGTAGAATATAATAAAGTTATCAGATATAGTTACATTCAATATGTGCACAAAGTATGAAAATATTATCTATTTTAGTTTAGAACAAAAGTAGTCCGGTTGAATAGAAAAACAGCAGCAACTAGAATCATAAAATTCAACTTTAGAATCTTTAGTTTTGAAAAATACGACAAACTGTCTGCAAGTCCTGAAAAATTTAACTTAGAAAGATGAGCACAGCAGCAAATTTAAGATATTATTTCGATAATTTTTATTAAAAGATTTTCCATTTATATTATCCATTTAAAATCAGTGTATATAATGTAATAAAATAATTTATATAAGTAAAAAGTATATAGTAATATATTGTCGGTCTTAGCGGTTAAAAGACAATTGAAAATGGGCTCCTACACAAATAAAAAATATGACTATACATTTAAAATTTAATATTTTCCTCGTGATAAAAATTAATAAGTTACGATGAAAGTCATGCCCGCATTAGCAAAACTAAACCTTTTGAAAGCAATCTAATACAAAAATTTATGCGCAGTTCCTATAAATGAATTATTATATTTGAATAAACAGTAAATAATGTTATTATAAAAAAAACAGACTAAAAAGATATAGCAAACGCAAATCAATTTTTCCTAAAACTAAAAACACTCAAAGTCCTAAATAAAATGTTGTTTGCAGTTTGCTATTAATGTTCATGAGAAATGTCTGTGGTTTTATTTATTTAGATTTTCTAATTTTCAAATGAATTCCTTGCAGTGATAACAATTTAAAAATTGAAAACTATATTGAAAGTTTGTGGCAAAAAAAACCCAAAATTTATGAGTGAAATCAAAAGTATTTAATCATTTTTTAGGCATACGGTATAAGTGGAATTTTGCCGTGACTAAATATAAGTGGCATTTTTCCATAACTTTCCGATATTTGTAAATAATCGATTTGATCAATATATATTTGATTTGTCTACATTGTTTATCTGTCAACATGACTACTTAGCACATCTAGCACATCATCTATCAGCATATATTTTCCTACAGATCCTGAATACTGATACAGAATGCTGAAACTCATCGCAAAAATGTAATCAAATTTTTACTCCGTCTATTTGAATCACATTCCTGGTTGAAGTCCAGCTGAACCTTTGTTTGTCAAAAATTGATCAACACGTCTCAAACTGTACATCTATTTTTTGCACCTTTTGCTTCATATCTCCGAAACTTTTTTTCATCAATGAGAATCGAATGCTTTTTGAATAATTCAAATCTGTTGATTGGTGATACCGGAAACGACTCAAAAAATTGTGTCAACACATACACACACATCAATTTTTTCTGAATATGCCAAAATGTTCAGAAACTGTCGAAACGAAAATTTAAAAATATTACTTTAGGCTCTTGCTTATGAACCTCATTAAATAATATATTTTATTAATATATATTTTTTCCCCAATAGGATCAGAAAGCCCAATAAAACTCAAACTAGAAGTCCCAGTAGTCACCCGATCCGCTTGCTCAAACGTCTATGCAGGTGTTTCGGTTCAAATCGGTTCGGGCCAACTATGCGCTGGTGGCGAACGTGGCCGAGACAGCTGTCGTGGGGATTCGGGTGGGCCACTTATGGCCATAGATCGGGAATCTGGCCAGGTGGCTAACTGGATAGTGGCCGGAATAGTGTCGTTTGGCCCTTCGCCTTGCGGTATGCAAGGCTGGCCAGGCGTTTACACGAAAGTTGGAGATTACGTGGATTGGATTCAGAGTAAAATGCGTGCTTGAATAAAGTATGATTGATATTTGAATTATATAGAAATAACCTCAGTTTTCAAATTATGTTGAATTTGCAATAAAATAACATATTTTTATTAACATAAATTGTTGATTTACTGTTCGAGTCTCGCAAAAGCTTACACTTTTATCAAAAAAAGTCAGTATATGATTAGTTTATATAATTACTAAGATTAATAAAAATACTCCTAAATTGTACAATGATATTATATATTGGATACATTATATATATAATTATTATATTGTATATCATTTTGTAAAATACTCTTATAATGGATATATTCGATAATCAAAGAAAATTATTTTATCTCATGACAAGTGAAATAAGAGTGAAAGGTTATCTTAAAATAAAACTATTAGGCTCTAAAAATATCTTCAAATAAACATAACTAAAAATTAGTAACAACAGTTCACATTTATGATAAATGTTTTAGGCAGCTACTTTTGCCACCCAAAATTGAAATTGGACAATATTTATATTTTTATATTTCAGGAAAATTTATAAAGTATTATCAAAAAACTCAGATAAATGTAAAAATAAAATTACAAACTAGTATAAAATGTTTTTCAATTCAAATTAGGACGAATGCAAATTCAAATTAAATTTTAAGAGCATATATATCATATAAGTTCAATATAGTCAATATAGTGTGATTATATTATATCCACTTTTTGTGAGAAATTCTATAATAGTCAAGGACATTGAAATCGTAAATATATGCAAAAAAATTCAATTATGATTTTTGGACGATTACAATAACTTACCCCATGAAAACTTAAAAATACTGATTTTTAGAAAATAAACTACTAAAAAATTATTGACAACTGATCATTAACGCAAGAAAAAAAATTTTGTCTTGTAAAGAAGAAAAAAAATGTGATAAACACTTTTGGAAAGATAAAAGAGCATAATTTTTGATTAAACGCTTTGAAACAAATATTTCAACATCAAGTTTAAAAAATGGGAACTTAGACAATAGAAAGAACAAAATATCGCCTTATTTTCTAAATAAATCATAAAATATATTCTTTAACTGGAAATTTAAATGTTTTGAGAGAATTTCTGTGAATGTACCTGGTGGCGAAAAGCACTCACCTCTTACTATCGAAAAATCGTTTTAAATAAAGTGGAATCTGACGAAGATATTCAAAAATAAAAATATTTAAATATTTAAAAAAATGTAAGGCTATAACCAAGTATAAAAAACAATTATTGTTGTTTATTATTCTTTAAAACTATTTTTTTAAAACTACAATGATATCACAAAAACTTTAATAAACGAATTCATTAAAAATTATTGTATTATTTTTGTAACATTATTCAGTATTATCAATTATTTACTATAATATCAATACATCATGCTAAATGATTTTATGTTTATATTTTAATAATTTTATATAAAAATCTGGATGCTTCTACTGATAAAAAAACACAATATAAATAAAATATTATTTTGTGATTCAGATTTTCTTTTCATATTAATCCAATGTCCATGAACATCAAAAATTAGTTTTAGTTCCTACATAAACTTCTACAACAACTACAGTGAATATTATGCATATATGTACATTATGTATTAGATTATAAGAAGAAATATTGAAATTAAAATTCTCATCAGTCTAAAAACAATTATGACTGCAATTTTGAAAAGTGATTTCATTCCATATAATTGTTATTTGATAAAAAATATTAGTCAATAATAGTATTGATATTGCGACTTCGCCGATATTGTGCGATCACATATTTTAAGATGTACTTGAAATTAAATGCAAATTAATGTAAAAAAGTTCTGAAAATGAATTAATAAAATATTTTGTAGACAACTTTTTTCTTATGCAACAAAAATATATCGTAGATGTAAAAGCCGACTCTACTAAGTTGGAATTGGAGTTGGTATTGGGAAGTAAGCACCATTTTGCAATTTTCTTTTTGCAGAATTTGAAGTTTTGAAATATCTTTTTTGAGAAAGACAACATAATACACCTTTCGAAAGCTAAACCTACAATCTAACTGTAGAATATAGCAAGCACCATCCAGATATTGATGGGAAAATTCAATTTGGCCTCAAAACTATAAGATATATCGGAACACAACAAAAAATAATTTTGGAATTCAATTCCTCTAAACTCACCCGAAATCTATACTGACACCATAGAAGATGACAGTGTCAAGAAATTAGTGCAAGATAACAACTAGAATATAAAAAAAACAAACGGCAAAGCCTGCATTGGTAAAAATTTATATAAATCACGCAATTTGCAAGTGTAAAGGGTTAATCTCGAAAACGGAGGTCTGTGAAGATTTACAGACAAAATATGCCAAAGTAAAACAGGTAGTACAGATTAAGAAGTAAACTGCCAATCTATATAGTATTCCTTTGGAAAGATTAAGATATGACAAGACTAAAAGCGAAAAATAGCTTTCGGACACATATTGTAAAAAGTAGCTTCCAGGCACAGTATTGTAGGTCCCAAAATAAAACATGCAGGGCCATAAGTGCATACATTTGGACCGCACCTTTCACATGTGTGACATGAGATACAGATGTATAAAATGCGTGAATCATTATAAGTCAAAATTTATAAACTGCCAGAGCAATCAGTATTATTAAATTAATTAATTATTAAGCAAAAAATTATTGAAACGTGCATCACAATCCAAAAAAGAAAAAACTGAGCATAATAAAAATATAAAAAATAGAAGTGCATAAGTGCTTTAAATAACAATAGTCAACATCGGGAGCACGTTATTTACCGCCTAGAAAGTTGACCACCTAACAGGCAAGAACTCGGACCATCATCATTAAAAGTGATTTGGACTTAAAAACAATAAAATATATTAGAGACAAAACAAAAATCCATTTCAGAATTCAGCAGGTAAAGTCACATCTGCACAAGTTACATTATAGGGTCAAGAGCAAATCGAGAAGGTACTTCGGTGAGTGCAACTACTAGTTTTTCCAAAGCAGATAACAATTAGGTGCAGAAGGTAAACTAATCACTATTGTAAGAATTAATTAATAAGAGTTTTGGCAAGACATTTAGAAAGATTTACATGATAAAGTAAGCCATACTGCTACTAATTTCCCGAGGTAATTCTTTGGTAGACTATCCTTCTTCGGACTATATCACAGGTTTCGAACACATGGGCATACATCCAAGTAAGACAATCCTTCCAACATTATCAAAAAATACTATATCACATAAAAACAGAATAAAACTAAAAAAAAACAAATATAAAAAGGGTATAAAAGGAATGGCCGTAGGGCCATATATAAAAAATAACTAGGCCATTAGTTTATTGTTCATAATTTGTTTGTTTTAACATTTCAGGTTTACAAGATTATATAAATTATCGATTTCATACATTATTTTAATAAAATTTTGTTTTTGTTTTCATCAAAATTTGTTTAAACAAAAATCAAAAAATGAGCATAATAAAAATAAGTGCAAATAAGTAGTCAACGACATCGGTAGCACAAAATTTACAAGTTTTACAAGTTTACAGGTTTACAAGATTATATAAATTATTGATTTCATACATAATTTTATACAAATTTTGTTTTTGTTTTGATCAAAATTTGTTTGATCCAAAAACAAAAATGAGCATAATAAAAATAAGTGCAAATAAGTAGTCAACGACATCAGGAGCGCAAAATAGACCACCTAGACAGTTTACCACCTAAAGGGCAAGAACTCGGACCATCATCATTAGAAGTGATTTAGACTTAAAAACAATGAAATATATTAGAGATAAAAGAAAAATCCATTTCAGAATACAGCAGGTAAAGTCACATCTGCACAAGTTACATTACAGGATCAAGATCAGATCGAGAAGGTACTTTGGTGAGTGCAACTACTAGTTTTTCCAAAGCAGATAACAATTAGGTGCAGAAGGTAAACTAATCACTATTGTAAGAATTAATTAATAAGAGTTTTGGCAAGACATTTAGAAAGATTTACATGATAAAGTAAGCCATACTGCTACTAATTTCCCGAGGTAATTCTTTGGTAGACTATCCTTCTTCGGACTATATCACAGGTTTCGAACACATGGGCATACATCCAAGTAAGACAATCCTTCCAACATTATCAAAAAATACTATATCACATAAAAACAGAATAAAACTAAAAAAAAAACAAATATAAAAAGGGTATAAAAGGAATGGCCGTAGGGCCATATATAAAAAATAACTAGGCCATTAGTTTATTGTTCATAATTTGTTTGTTTTAACATTTCAGGTTTACAAGATTATATAAATTATCGATTTCATACATTATTTAATAAAATTTTGTTTTTGTTTTCATCAAAATTTGTTTAAACAAAAATCAAAAAATGAGCATAATAAAAATAAGTGCAAATAAGTAGTCAACGACATCGGTAGCACAAAATTTACAAGTTTTACAAGTTTACAGGTTTACAAGATTATATAAATTATTGATTTCATACATAATTTTATACAAATTTTGTTTTTGTTTTGATCAAAATTTGTTTGATCCAAAAACAAAAATGAGCATAATAAAAATAAGTGCAAATAAGTAGTCAACGACATCAGGAGCGCAAAATAGACCACCTAGACAGTTTACCACCTAAAGGGCAAGAACTCGGACCATCATCATTAGAAGTGATTTAGACTTAAAAACAATGAAATATATTAGAGATAAAAGAAAAATCCATTTCAGAATACAGCAGGTAAAGTCACATCTGCACAAGTTACATTACAGGATCAAGATCAGATCGAGAAGGTACTTTGGTGAGTGCAACTACTAGTTTTTCCAAAGCAGATAACAATTAGGTGCAGAAGGTAAACTAATCACTATTGTAAGAATTAATTAATAAGAGTTTTGGCAAGACATTTAGAAAGATTTACATGATAAAGTAAGCCATACTGCTACTAATTTCCCGAGGTAATTCTTTGGTAGACTATCCTTCTTCGGACTATATCACAGGTTTCGAACACATGGGCATACATCCAAGTAAGACAATCCTT